ACAGTAGGACAACCTTGTCGTTTGCCAAGCAGACCAGACCTACTGAGTCAGTTAGGAGGGAAAGTTTGGTACCCACATCCAGACCGATTGAAACTGGGGGTGTGGCCTCTGGGACCACCAGGCCTTTCTTGGAGTGTTCACAGAGGGCCAGGGACACTGTTTTGAATGTTTGTGCTGCGTCTACACAAAAGTTGTACACTTGTAAGTGGAAAGTGTTTTGTGACTGGTGTTCTAGCCGCAATGTTGATCCATTACACTGTTCAGTGGGATGCATTTTAGATTTTTTGCAGCATCTTTTGGAACTAATGTGGCGCCATTAGCGTGCTCATCAATCTGAGTTTAGTATTTGCTTGGGTCTGACAGGTTAATTGTTGCCTTCCTGATAGGAGCTAATAGTTTATTTCCTCCATGTGGTGTGTGGAGTCCGACGTGGGATTTGAATGTTGTTCTCAAATCCTTGTGTCAGCCCCCATTTGAGCCAATATCAGACTCTGACTCAGAAACTTTAAATTGAAAAGATTTTTCCAAAACAATAAGAAACATGAATACAAAGAGTACAATTCTAAAAACTTTGCACGTTTTCAACTAGATGTCTACCAAATCAACCAAGCATTTTAATGCATACTCAAGTCAAGAGATAAATAAGCTATTTTGATTTTTCCGTCAGCCTTCCCAGGAGGAGGTCTTGCAGCAGAGCCGGTTCTGGTGCCTGAGGTGTCCTGTTCTTTGCCTGATGATGATGATCTGCTCTCTGTGCAGGGCAATGCCACCGTGGGATCCACCATCCAGTACCAATGTGCACCTGGGTGAGACTGAAGTGAAAAAACTGTGGCTGATATAAACAGAATACCTAGTTTTATCATGCAAATCTACACTCCGCACCCTCTTTCCCTTACAGATCTGTGCTGATTGGAGATAGTGAGAATATCTGTCATGAGAACCAGATGTGGCAATACCCTCACCCCATCTGTCGCCGTAAGTATGCGTAGGCCTGTGTGTATGTGTGTGTGTGTGTCTACATGAACTCCTCCACATGGGAATGACTGAGACATTGATCCTGCTAAAAGGAAATAGCAGGTGTATTAGTATGTGCTTGAGGAAGATGTTGATCCAAACTGCTAAAGAGAACTTGGTTTGTATGCTCTTGCACACCATGGAGCAAAGTAATGAGAGAGAAATGAGAGGACAGCGAGAGAGAGAAGAGCAATGAAGACTGTGTGGGTTTGTGTGTAGGTGGATAGGGCACTATGTGTAAATGAATTTGTGAGTGTGCAGAGCTAGTGAAGCCGATGCGGGTTTGACTAATACATGCTGGGGCAATGCTGCCCCCTGTTGGATCAACCTAGGCTTGTTTTAAATGCATATTCTGGATTCAGTACAAGTTAAAGGGATTGTTCGCCCAAAAATGAAAATTGTCATCATTTACCCATCCCTCAAGTTGTTCCAAACTTGTATGAATTTCTTCTGCTAAACATAAAAGAAGATATGAAGAATGTTGGTAACCGATGACGGTAGCCATTGAGTTCCATAGTATTTTTCCATAGGCTACTTACGGAGTCAGTGGCTACTGTCTACTGTTTCGTTACCAAACATGCGTCATAATATCTTCTTTTGTGTTTAACAGCAGAAAGAAATTCATTCAGGTGTGGAACAACTTGTGGGTGAGTAAATGATGACAGAATTTTATTTTTGGGTAAACTATCCTTTTAAGCTCAGTCGAAATATAGGCATAAGATTGATTACCACAAAAATTAATTTCGACTGCTCCTTCCTTTTTTAAATTTTTTTATTTATAATTAAAATGTGTATAACCCTGAGGCACATGAAGTGAAGGCCAGTTTTTACACATTAAAATACTCATTGTTACAAAAGTCAAAAAGTTGTAAAATAAATATGTATGTTAACACGAACCTTAATAAGGTTTTTAAGGTTTCATTTTTAATTCTGTAGTAACTTACATGTGTATGTAAGTGTGTGCATTTATATGTTATCAGGTGTGGTTTGTCCTCCTCCTAAGGAAGTTGAACGTGGACATCTGGTGGCCGTCCAGAGAACTGAATATGAAGTTGGCGGTACAATCTATATTACCTATGCAAAAAGAATTTCTTGTTGGATGGACCAAATCAAGTGACTTGTCTACCTAATGGGACATGGAGTGCAGAGCCTGCCTGCTGGGGTAAATACAGCTGGCAACAAAACAATAGGCATTAAGTCATCATGACTGTGTTAAAGGGGTCATATGATGCGATTTCAATTTTTCCTTTCTCTTTGGAGTGTTACAAGCTCTTGGTGCATAAAGAAGATCTGTAAAGTTGCAAAGACTAAAGTCTCAAATCCAAAGAGATATTCTTTAGAAAAGTTAAGAGTCAGCCACACCTACATAAAACGGCTCGTTCTAACACGCCATTGAAAATTTAAGGTGTATAAATATATGGTTTGGAATGTTTTGGTTTCCAGCCGTGAATCGTAAACCTCCTTTCCTTTTTGTCATGACAAATAGCATCATTCTCTTCACCGTTTCTTCCCTTGTCTTTCCGATCAGCCCGCTGTCCAGTCCCTGCTCAATGCAGCAGGGTGATCGTGGGAGGAGTAAAGCGTTGGCCATATGATCTGACGGATGGAGTGGTTGCTCATGGAGAGAATGTGACATTTTTCTGTAAACATCCAGAAAAACTGTGCAGCTTCACTGCCACAGAGGTCTGCGTGGATGGACAGCTCAAGCAACCTAGCTGCTATCTTGGTACATAATTCACACCACATTTATGCACATAATATAATAACATTACACTTAAAAATAACCCTGCATCACCTTCGTCTCCCGCTTTTCTTTTTAGACCCTACCTGGCTGCAGTTCAAGCTCTTTCCTCATCGGCTGGTTTCAGAGATTGATCCATGTGATCCTGCTGACCTTCAGTGAACTCATCAAATTTTGACAACACATTTTGCATGTTGGCACACACAGCTCTCTCTTCAATCTGACACCATGACCTGGAGTCTGGATCAACGTAAATTGTATTATTAACGTGCCAACTAAATTGGTTTTGGAACGGATCTCAGTAGGATCTCAGTTATGCCTCATTTAACTCTTCTCTTTTCTTTGTTGTATGTTGCATTGACAATGTTACCTTAAACAGAATTTGTGTCATATTTGATATATGCAAACACCCTCATACTTGCTTGAGGTTATGGTTGCTGTAAGCTGCTCTCTTTTCATGTATTTTATTGTCATACAAAGTGTAAAACTGATTTTTGAGGTAGCGTTGGTGTTTATCTTGTTATAATATTTTATTTCTTTGTTAAAAAGTGATTTTCTGCTACCTGATATGTTTGTCAAACCCACAACCAAGAATGCACAGGCTAAAGGTGAACTCAGAAATCATGCCATGTATTGATGCTCTCTGTATTCCAAAAGCAGTTTTATGATATGTTTAGAGTTAACTGATCTTATAAATAAGGAGCAAATTACAGAAAAAAAATGCACACACATCCTTACTTCTTTTAAAATCTTTAAATATTTCCCTATGTTCAGCCAGAAAAACTGTGCAGCTTCACTGCCACAGAGGTCTGCGTGGATGGACAGCTCAAGCAACCTAGCTGCTATCTTGGTACATAATTCACACCACATTTATGCACATAATATAATAACATTACACTTAAAAATAACCCTGCATTACCTTCGTCTCCCTCTTTAGACCCTACCTGGCTGCAGTTCAAGCTCTTTCCTCATCGTCTGATTTCAGAGATTAATCCATGTGATCCTGCTGACCTTCAGTAAGCTCATCAAATTTTGACAACACATTTTGCATGTTGGCACACACAGCTCTCTCTTCAATCTGACACCATGACCTGGAGTCTGGATCAACATAAATTGCCTTATTAATGTGCCAACTAAATTTTATTTGGACCGGATCCTAGTAGGATCTCACAGTTATGCCTCACTTAACTCTTCTCTTTTCTGTGTTGTATGTTGCATTGACAAAGTTACCTTAAACAGAAGTTGTTGTCATATCTGATAAACATCCTCATACTTGCTTGAGGTCTTGGTTTCCATAAGCTGCTCTCTTTTCTTGTGTTTTGTTGTCATACAAAGTGTAAAACAAAGTGATTTTTGAGGCAGCATTGGTGTTTATCTTGTTACAATATTTTATTTCTTTGTTTATTTTGGCTAACTAATATGTTTGTCAAACCCACAACCATGAATGCACAGGCTAAAGATGAACTCTGAAATCATGCAATGTCTGATATCTCTCTAATTTTACTGTATTTCAAAAGCAGATACGTTTAGAGTTAACTGATCTTTGACTGGACTGCTTGATTGGATTACATAAAGAATAGAGTCTGCTTGGGAATATTATAGCATAAAAGCCTTGCTGAATTATTGCTGTCATACGGATTCAGTTTTGCATTGTGTGAACTTCACAGTGAATCATCTTTGAATGTATTTTCCTCTTGTAATATCATGATTCTTCAATAAAGAATCTGGAATGTTTGTTGTCATTATCAACAATGATTTAATTTTACCTGGTTAGTCTGTATAAACGATTTCTGTAGCGTACAAAGAATTGTTTGAATGCTATCTTCCATCTCCAAACCTAAAAATAGGCTACAATATACTATAAAATACAATATATTTTACTTCAAGAAAATTAAGAAATTTAAATATCCCCTGTCGTTTGCATCACTAAAATGTATAAATCTTAATACAGTAATGAACATATTCTAAAATTAACAATGATATAATTGTCACATTATAAATAATTGTTTATATTGAATGATGTGCCACAATTTAATGTACATATTACTAAATGCGTTAATTATCATGAAAATAATGTGAACATATTGGCTACACCACAACTGAAGTTATGCTCCAAAATGTCAGTGCTAAAGCGTGTCCAGGTCGGACGTAGAAAACTGCAACACCACGACATCCCCCCCTCCCCTTTCGCTCGCGCTCAACCTCTCCCGCCCAGTCATTCATTCATATTTGGTCTTCCGGAAGTATCTCAGGGTCGGGCCAGTCAGTGCCTGCGCGAGCTGACTCGTAGGGTGAGAACAGTTTCGTATTCAATATTTCAGTTATAAAGAAGCAATGTGTGCGAATGGTTGTAAGCTTTTGAGAAGAAATGTGCGTTCTTGTGAGTAGCAGTTAAAGAGCGTTGGTTGTCTTAGAAAGTTTGAAATAAGGTTTCCAAGGCAGCAGTGTGTCTGAGCGCTGTCACCGGCTCGAACCCTCGGTACGCATAAAATGGCTGGTCGCAGGTTCGAGCGCAGTCAGTGTTTTGACCAAAATATGTGAATAATTAAAGTGTATTTGTAATACACAGGTTATGGGGAGGGTATATCCTTCAGACAGATACTTTTGGTCATGTAATGGCACGGGTTCGACTCGCAGTCTGGACCCCACAGACATCAAACCCGATGTTTGGCTTTATATTTGTCTTCTTTAAACGGACCTCCGGCGCGTAATGGCGTCGAATGTCCCCGTGTTGATCTCTAACTCTCCCACAGTGCTGCATGGCTGAGTGTACGGACAAAGGCATTGGTGTCAAACCTTGAGCCATGCGCGTTGACAGTTAATTTGTGATGAAAACCACGGGAAGGAGGAGTGGACCTGCTACCATGACAGTGCGCAGCTCAAGCTCATTGCGTTGCATTCTGACTAACTGCATGGCATTTGTGTACTTTTGGAAATATTGTAAAAAGGTCAGAATTGTAAAAATCTTCCTTGGTACCGTGATTAAGTAGCCTATTGATTTGAGTTGGCATCCTATCAAGCTTTTCATTTACAAAGAATTGGTCTGTTTTTAGTGTTTTTTTATATTGTTAAATGTGAGAACTTCCTAACTTCTAAACACAATTAGATTGTGTTTATGCAACAAAATCTAATATATTTTATAAATTGCAGTCATATTGTGGTATTCATAAAAAAAGTACTGGTGGGTTTCTTGGTTTAAATATACTGTTTATGAAAAAGTAGTATGCCATAATAAAATATAATATTGCTGTTTAGAAAATATAAAATGTTTTATTGTTTTGACTTATTGTCAAAAGCGTTATATGATAAATGCTGTTAAATTTAGATAGTTAACATATAGAGGTTATACTTTCTGATACAAATGAAAACAACTGCTAAAATGTGATCTGCCAACAGTATCCACCAGTCTCCTCTGAAGTGTGTTCTAAGGTTTCAAAATATATCAAGAGTAGTTTTGTTGACCTACCGGACCATAACAACGCATCTACAGAAAGTTGATAATGACAGTATTTGTTCTCAGAATGAGCCTGAGAAATTAATAAATTAATAAATTGCTAAATTCTCTATGGTCAATAGTGTACCAAGAATTATTATTTTTTATTATAGTGCTTCTGACAGTATGTATGCAGGTAATAAACAGGCTTTTAAAATAATAACCTATCAAAAAGGTTGTGTTCTTGTATTTTCTTTTTTTTTCTGTGAGGAGTTGCTCATGGATGTCATCAGATCCTACTGTTGAATGTATGTTTTTGGTAGTCATCAATATTAAATGAAAATAACCTGAAATTTAATCATGTTGTTAACAAAGATGCAAATGACTTTATTATTTTTATATTACTAATACATTATTAGTGCTGATCCCTAGATATATATAAGATAAATATAAGTACACATTTTTTAAATCAAGGCACTCTATATTGCCTCCTCTGTCTGTTGTGTTTAACTGCAGTATCTGTTATGATTCCGTTTGTTATGCTTGTGAAAATAAATAATTCATAAATGTTTGTAAACAAAACAAACCCCTTAGTTCAGAAAATGAACAAATTATTGTAAAAAAAAATTTTTCCAAGCCACATTGTCTTTTTATATGTAAATACACTCCTATAACAATATAACAAAGAATGTGGCAGTATTAAATATTGAATAATTATTAAATTTAGTATTAAATGTTAGTAATAATTTATTAAGAGTATACAAAGGGACTGGAACTTCAAAAAGGTGATTTTTTGAAGTTGCAGTTAATTTGTACATTTTGACGGCATTAAAGGGATAGTTCACCCAAAAATGAAAATTTGATGTTTATCTGCTTACCCCCAGGGCATCCAAGATGTAGGTGACTTTGTTTCTTCAGTAGAACACATATGATGATTTTTAACTTTAACCGTTGCAGTCTATCAGTCGTATAATGCATGGCAATGGTAACAAAATCTATGAGAGTAAAAAAAACATGCACAGACAAATCCAAATTAAACCCTGCGGCTCGTGACGACACATTGATGTCCTAAGACACGAAACGATCGGTTTGTGCCAGAAACCGAACAGTATTTATATCATTTTTTACCTCTAATACAACACTATGTCCAACTTCCTTGAGCGCGCGCACGGCATCCGATGCGTGAGGTGTGTACGCGCTCTGGCGTAGTTTACGTTAATGGGTGTGTTGATATCCAGCCGAAGAGCAATCAACCATAACTTCAGGCGAGCAGGCTCAGAAGTTGGGAATACGTGGAAAGTCACCACTCCCGAATGAGTTCGCGTGAGAGAACGTAAGCAGATAAACATCAAATTTTCATTTTTGGGTGAACTATCCCTTTAATGTTTTATAAAGGATTGTTACCTTAAACAATAGATCATTTGAGATTTGTCTTTATAACTTGAGTTGTGTTATTTTTTTTACAGAATGTAGAATCTTGTTTTTGTCTTATGTTTTTTGTTTGTTTGTTTGTTTTTTGTTTTAGATTGATGCCTTAGATGAGTAGAAGGTCCTGACTGATGGCACTGGCAGAGACATGGGTGAAAATCAGCAGTTACATCAGATGGGAAAGGAACTGGCAATGGTGCCATTACATGGATTATGCAAGATTGTGTGGCACTGTCAGGCAATATTTCAGTGTTCTCTCAGGTTATAATGAACTGACTTACTCCATGAGTACTGAATAATATGATTTCTTCTCTACTGCTGAATGTAGAGAAGTTGCTATGCGCAAACAACAAACATTGGACAGGATAGGTGAGACCATTCCACATATTAAGTGGACTGATCTTACTGCCACCAAAGATAGCCAAATGTCTGTGGGTGAGGAGGGTGAGTTATCAGATGAGGGACTCTCATTGAGGACTGAATCTAAAGACAATGTGACCCCAGATGTGTTTCTTGTTCCACCACAAGATCAGGCAGAAGTTGTAAAGGATTACAGTAAGCAGAACTCGCCAAAAAATGAATCAGACTCAGACCAGATGAGTCTACTTGAAAAAAAGACTGTTGAATATAAATTAGTTACTTTTGATGAGAACACAAGGAGTCTACCAACAAACATGCAGCTGATACCCAAGATGGAGTCTGATAATGCTAGGACAGAAGCTTGTGAGGTAACAACCAAAGCTACAAACATTGCTAACATCCCAACCAATGATTTACTAGAGATTAAGGTTCAACAACAATCTATTTTAAATATAAGTTTCCATAATGACAAACTACCATCACCTGGTGGAGGCAATCAAACAAGCAAGGAGTTGTGTATTGAGAATAAAACACAGGTTGTTGATATAGCTCATGTAAGAGTGAGTAAACCTGGGATGGACATAAATGCAAACAAAGAAAGATTAGAATATAGTAAAGACTGCATTGAAGACAATAAAACACAAATTTTATGTAATGTAAGAGAGGAGAGACTTGATATTGGAAGGAACATGGCAGTGACAAGTTCTTTGGTACAATGTGAAGAAGACATGGTATTAGATTTAAGCCTACCAAAAAAGAAAGACCGAAATAAGGAGAGGAAGTGTGAATGGGTTGTAGACCCTGAATATGAAGGTTCACTTCATATGGAAGTTGATGAAATTGAGGATGAACCTCAACATGTAGAAGTGGAGCAGGAGGATGATAATGAAATTTGCTGGATTGCATCAGTAAATGACGCTCATATATATCTGCCACAGCATTGGGATGGACATCTGTCCTCCTCTTCGCTTGAAGCCATGCCAACTGCATCATACCCCAACATCATAACCCCAGATCCAATGGATACACTACTTATAGATGACCAGGGCATTCCTTACACACTCACCGCAGATGGACAGAAAGTCCCACAAATTGATAATATACAACACATTGAGGGACTCTCTGAACAAACAGCTCTAAGCGCAAGGCAAGCTGAAGATAAGCCCTCTTCCATTGCTGATACACAGGATATTGCAGACTACAGACTACAGACACTACCCAATTCACTATGTCCAAATATGCCTATAGGTCATGTCTCAGTGGAAACCTCACAAGTTGCCCCAAACCTGGAGCCAAAATCTTCTTACAGTTCCGTAGCTCATGCTAAACCCCCCATCATACCTGCCATATCTGACTTGGCATCAGTTCCCATTCAGATTGTGGCTAATACTACAGGGTCAAACACCCCCATTCTTCTTCTTCCTCCATCTCAGCTTCAGTCTCTTTCCTCACCAGCCTCTAAAGGTAACCCAGGGCTAATTACCTTTTCCTTACCGGTTCCTCTTAGTCAGAACACTCAGTCCTCCCCCATGTTCCTAGTTTTGTCATCTCCTCAGGTGTCCTCAACTCAGAGTTCGTCCTCGCCTGGGCAATTATCTCAGATTTCCTCCTCTTCAACTGTTGCACTTCCCTTGGCTACTTGTCCACTTGATTTGGGATCTACATTAAGTTCACGTCCGTCACTTCTCAGCCTCAGCACGATTTCCTCTGACACAGCTACAGACATCTCAGGACTGAATAACCCTTCTAAACTTCCTGCTAGCCCTACCTCATCAACTGCTTCCTCTAGCACGTCCACAGTGACCTCTACTAGTCCAACCAAGCAATTCAGCACTGATGCCTACTCTGACACACCCGTGCCCACTTCCTTTCGGGAGGCCCTTCTCAGATTGGCTGTGTCTGTGGAGAAGAAACAAGAAAACCAGCCTGAGACGCATTTGGTCACTACTCCTTCCTCATGCTCTGAAGCCACCAAGCCGGATTCCTCTGCCACAGTCCATGAAAGTAAAAATAATGAGACAGAGGTAAACTGTGATGGTGAGACTGAGTCTACCTTGGTAGACCAAACAGACTCATTAGATACTACCTCTTCCACCTCACCCATTCGTTCTGAATCACCTGTAATTCCAATCAATGACCCAAAGAACCAAGCATTAGGCCCTCGTCGCATTCTTTACTGTCAGTATTGTCCGCGGATCTTCTACTATCTTTCAGACCTTGAGCGCCATTCCATCACACACTCTCAAAGCAAACCCCATGTATGTCACCTTTGTGGCAAGGCGTTCAAAAGATCAAGCCATCTTGAGCGACACAAACACATCCATACAGGTCAGAGAAACTTTGTGTGCCAGCTTTGCCCAAGGCGTTTTCGTGAATCGGGGGAACTAATGAGGCACCAGAGAGTACACACCGGTGAGAAACCCTTTCAGTGCTTAATATGCCACATGCGTTTTGCAGAGCGCAACACGCTGCGACGTCACATGAAGCGCAAACACCAGGGCCAGCAGCTGGAGGTGATGGACATGAAGGCAAAGCCAGAAAGTGGAGGGATTTCCCTTGCTGGTATACAAGGAGAGCCAGAAGAGAATGCCGAGTGGTACAGTTCAACAGTTCCTGAAATGGAGTCCGACAGTGACACAGGGGGAGAATGAACTACATGAGGGCATGAACAAATAGATTTTCTTTCTTTTTTAAGTTTTAAAAAGATAAGCAAAGTTGTAAATACATATAATTTATTTTGTATTGATATAATAATTCCTTATTTCTCATTAGTTTCATATTATTGCCTATATTTAATTCTGTTAATTCTCAAGACCTTTACTGGTGATGACTGAACTCGGCAATATTCAAGTTCAGATTCTTTCTAATAAGCTTCAGTTATTGAGTTAGATCTCTTGGTGAAATACATTGGTTTTAATTCTTTACCTAGAATAACTTTGAATTACACTTATTTGCTACTTATTTATTGTTCTCATTTCAGTTTTTTGAATATACAGCATCTTTCTTCAAGGGTGGGATGTAGTTACTGTAAAAGACTAAGAGGCTCATTATTGTTATTTATAATTTTATATTATGATCTCTTGAAGTCAAGTAATTGCCTAGATTAGTGCATCAGTATATCTCTATAACTCTAGGCCCACTAATGACTTGACCACACGAAATTCGCAGCCACAAAACTCAGCAGATTTCCACAGAATTGGAACATACATCATTCTCAAAGTTCTACATGTCTTTCACTCCTTTCATTGTAATACTCCACCTGACCTGCAGAGGACAGTATTGAGTTGTGTCCTTTTTAAACTCTTTCAAACTTGCATTGGAGATGGTCCTCACTGCAGAACACAAGATCCAGGGGCGTGGTTGGATCCAGATCCAACTCCTCTCACCTTACATATACCTAAACCTACCCGTCTCCACCCCTAAACCTACCAATCTCCACCCCCTAGATGTGGATCCAACCATGCCTCCTGGATCTTTTGTTCTGCAGTGAGGGGCTACTGTTGCATTGTACAAATCTTCTGACCTGGCATATTCATTATTGTCATTTACACCTTTGTTTTCTGTTGTTTTTATTGCCATTCTTTATCATCTGGTTATGGAGTGTTCAGGTTAACACATTGTCTTGTTTGCATCTGTTCTGTAAAATGCTCCAGATTCCCTCCAAAATGCAGAAGAAGAAGAAAAAAAAACTCTGCTCATCTGGGCCTTCTCTTGACTCCGCTTTTATATTTCCGAACATGTTCAGATATTGTGCATTATAAAAAATCTTGCTCTGTGTTCATTTCGGTTTCTTCCTCTTGGCTATTTTATTTTTATTTTTTTTACAAAAGGGAGTAGTATAGTCACCTTCATATGTTTCTTTTAAATGCTCTGCTTTGTTCTTTTTTAATATTGAACTTGAACTATTTGGTATATAAACCCCTTGCCTTCTTCAAGGGCCTTCAATTTATTAATTAGAAATTATGCTTTTATCTGGACAAAGAAGGTTTTACTTCTCTTGATCGCTTGTCAGACAGCTGTTACAAATCATTGCAGAGTGTTTGAATTAGAAGTTCAAGTTAATCTGCACATATGTATTTTTTTATATAAATTAATTACTTAAAATAAGTTTTTACTGTCATTGGTACAGTGATACAATTGTCTGGTGATCTTGCACAATTCAAATT